GCAGGACCTGAAACTGGCCAAACAGGTAATCTGTAAATTACAAGCAGTTTCATACTTGAACATCTCCAGAAAAAGAATATTAATGCAAAAAGCCTAATCGCAGCGTAATTACATGATGGTTTATTTACAGTAACCTGATTAAATTCAAATATAAAACTCTTGGCAGTGTACAGATCAATGAGCCATTAAATAAAAAGGCCTCCAAGCTAGAAAGGATTAATTTAAGCAGTAAACTAAGCACGAGCACAAATCAAACACAAGTAGGTAAGACTCTGCTGGATGCACTTTAACGACCTCTCCTGGGAAATCAACTCCAACCACATGCTGATAGAAATTCACTCTGATAAGGTTTTCTTGACATGCAGCTCGTTCAGGTAAACAACCATAATGACGAGTTCTGATTGAACTCCGAGAAAAATAACTGCTGCATGAAACTGCGGCTTTGAAAGCATTTCGCTCACATCGTAAGATGTCCACGATCAGCTCCACGTCCGTGCTGAGCTTTTTGATGTGGTCCAGGTTGGCCACCGTCACAATTGGCACATATTGGTCACTGTCCATTTGGGAGATGAGGTACATGTCACTGGCCAGATTCTCCCTGTCAAACGGAGACGCAGATAGGAGAGGTTAGTTAGACTTTCATGGTGGAGGTGGCAAAAGGTGCAGCAGTGAAAACAAACTTCATTTACTCTGATAAACACAGTCGCACCTGCTCTTACATAAGAGCGACTCTTACACGTGTAATAAACATCAGCTTTGTTTAGGGTGACACACGGCATCTGAATCGCTGCTCTTCTGGTAACAAGTGCACCTTTTGAAACTCCTTCAGTTTACAGCTGTTGCACATTTGGCTGCTTTACTTGTGCAACTGTGAGATTTTTCTGCAGGAATGCACTGTAGGTGTGTATGGTCCAGTATTTTGTAACCCAGCAGTAGTCTGTTGGTTTCTATAGCTTCTTGTTTTCATATCTGATCAGTTTTTTTCCCTTTCTTTTAACTTCCACTGTAGTTTTGGAGAAGCTAACAGTATGCTATTGTTGTTGGCTTGTTCCAAGTTCACAGAGAGGAGAAAATGAAATGAATTTTTCAAGGCCTCAGTTCCTTTCAAATTAGCAGCTAAGCCACCACCACCGCAGAGGCATTCAAAAGTATGAAATAAGGCTTTCATTCAGACTACGCCTGACGCCCACAGCCGAAGGGAGAGAGAGAGAGAGAGAAGAGGCCTGATCGGTATCAAAAACAATACATAGTCTTCCAGTACACTAGCTGCACACACACATGTAATTATTGATGGATTTAATAATTCTTTTAGCGCATGAACAATGATGTTAGAACATATACAATTACCATCACACCTCCCAGTACGACCGAAAATATTAATTTACTCTGACAAAGAGAGAGAGGGGGGAAGCAGAATTCCCATGAACCCTGTTAAGACAGACAGACGGATGGACGGAAGATTCAGTGTACAAATGCTCCACGAAGGCACCACTTTTGGATCTTGTCGGCCGCTTGGTTTGTTTTGTTGCGTCATACAATATGACATTCACACCACTGAC